GCTCAAGGCCCATATGTATTTCATAGCACGGGCTTGAGTAACGTTAGGGACTCTGTATCTTACACCTGCTTTACAGACGGGCTGATACTGCCTGGGGCCTTTCTAGACCAGTTCTGAAGTTTCCTGCTCCTGAGAGTACGCTGAGCCCTGAAGGACAGAGAGCGCGTGGTCTGTTGGCACAACTAATTCTGCAAGGTTTTTGAAAGGACGCTGCAAACGCCTGTGCTAAATACAGTCTTCTGCCCTATCTGAATTTCTTTATTGTATATGGTGCACACAGACCTGGAGGCACAGAACGATCATTTAGTAGCTGTAATTTGCATTTTTTTTACAAGCACGTTTTACCTTTGGGGCTCCGGGGAAAATGATGGCGAATAGTGACAAATGTGTCAGCAATGTCAGGGGCTCAGTGCCACCAGGTGATGCTCTAATTCCTTCACCGCTCCTCTGCTGAACAGTTTCACACTGGAAAAAGGGAGACGATGAAGGAGTTTTAACTATAAAACATACAATGATCAGCTCGGGAAGACAAGGCATCTTTTATTAAGACAATTCCGAGTATTTATTTATGTTGAAGAGAAATTACCAATCAAGGCCCCCCTTTCCCTACTTTCATTCTTTTTCCTTCTTTGCCTATATGTAACCACAGTTAGAAAAAAACAGTTAGTTTGCAAACAGCCAGTTACTTGGTATGTGTTTATTCCTGGTAATTTGTTCCTCTATTCACATTCGAAACAGGATTCCTTTCACTCTTATGCATAGGCACTTGCTTTTCTCTTGGTTGTCATGAAAACGAGGGATTTCTTGCTGGCTGGCTGGCAGAGACTTCCTAATGGACAAAGATACAATTAATTCCTCAAAATGTGTTCCTAGAGCCATGCGCCTATAAAATAAACACCGAAGCAGACATCTTTGTTTTAAACAGTCCCAAAAGATGCAGATTTGCATCTTCTGCAAATCTGCAAAAGCTAGATTCCCTTTAGTGCTAACTGAGCAATTATCAGTTTTTTAATGATGTATACACTTAACGTATTACTGTGCTTTTCAAGACAGGTATGATCGCGCCTGCAGAGATCTGCGCTCTCGTCACTGCTGCCTGCTAACTTGCTCTGTTCTCACAGGATGCTTGCGGGAGGTTGTCCCTCGGGTTTCCTTTGTTTCCCGTGGGATTAATACCTTCTGGTTTTCCACAAGCCAATGTGACATGGGGTGTAAAATCGCATGCTGTGGTGCTAGCGCACCACTGTACGTTTCCCATGGCCGAGATGTTAAACACGTTCTAGCGTCTTCCCATTTGCTCCCCTTTTGCTTCTTGTCCTGCTGCTGTTGGGGAAGGTGCTTCCCAGCCCCCCTCCCCACTTTGTAATGAGCATGGTCAGTTAGGAACCAGTTTAAACAGGAATGACCATCATTTTTTGAAAGGGAAAGCGATGCTGTGCTTGAGGCACAAAGAGGCAAGAGGACCTCTGGGACTCTTCCCCAGCTCCCCGTGTTCCCTGTCCTGCTGGGTGGTGGCTTCCCTGCTCTGGCTGCTGTTTCGTCAGCTGGAGCTTGGGGGCATGCACAGAGGATGAATGCAGCCCTACTGCACCTGGCAAGGCAGGAAAGGGAGGAAGCACTCAGCTGAGCCCATGAGGTGGCATATCTCATCGGCTGCTGCTAATGGGAGGACTGAAGGTGCTTTAAATCACCTCCTACCTTGTTGGGAGGTTTGGGCCTGAGAGCCATCCCTCCCTGCAGAAGACATGAGTAGCTTAGTGGTTGCAAAGCGCAGGGAGTAGATGCCACATAGCAAAGGCAAAATCATATCTGTGTTTAGTGTTGCACCTGTCAGAACAGAAGCATCTTTCAGTTCTTGCTGGGGCTTGTTCCTAAGCTCAGTCTCAGACCACCTCACCTGGGCCAGCGACTCCTGCTATCAGTGGAGAGGCTCTTTTCTCTGACCTGGGAGGGAGTCTGCTAGCCGTCTCTGCATGAGAGGCAGCAGATGACAGCATATCCCCAGTGCAGTAGGGCACTCGTGTGTGGGAAGATGACCGTCAAAGCTGCTTGCCTACCGCTGCTGCCATCATTACCGTTCACAGGGAAAGCAAGCAGCAGAGGAGAGAGAGGTGAGCGCATCCTCCCTGCCTTTCCCCTCTGTCCTTCTTCCTGCCCCTCTGTCCCTTGGAGTCTGAAACTGGCTCTCCTCATGCTGATCCCTCAGGAAATGTTAGTTCAGCACAAATTCACTTAGACTAATGTTAAATAATTACGCTCTCACAAATGGAAGTAAAGCTTGTTTTCAAAGTTCATGTGAAAGGAAAAGGCACAGGGGGTGACAGCTCCCAGTTGCCAACGGAAATACCTCAAAGGTACCACAGGAGCCTCAGGAAATACTACAGGTTTGGAAGGAATCATTCCTAGGGAAGACTGAGCAAGTTTTTACTCCTGCCCCTTCAAACTCCTCTTCTGTGTAGGTTGCCCAAGACAGAGACTGCTGGGGAGCTAGGCCCACAAGCTGTGTGCAGGGTGCTTGCTGCGTCCTGAGACATCACAGGCACAGTGAGCAATTGGCAGAGCTACAGGACTGATGGTCACGATAACGCAGAGAGCTGGACTGACTGGCTTCAAAGGAAGGCATATGAATGTGGACTGCCTCAAACCTAAATAGACGAAGAGCAAAAGAAACAGTGTAGTGGCAATAAAGTACGCAAGGCAAAAAGCGCTTGGTTTTCAGGATCCAGCTCCTTTCTGTATCTGTCATCTATGGCCACGGAGGCAGTACTTCCCATTCACGCAGGCTGGTGGAGCGCTCCCTTAGCGCTACCTGCCTTTCTTGGAGGTTAACTACAGCATCAGGCAGTGCTGTCGGAGTCATCCTTTATTTGTGACAGTTGGAAACTAATGAGGAATGAGGAATACCCCTGGCAGCTCGGGGATCTGATTCCCTGGGATACTCTTCTGTGTGTATGAGTGTGTGTTTCCCCCCAGATTCTGCACGTTTCCTCCTCCTGTTTCAGAGAGCTGGTCTCAGCAAAGCTTAATTCGATGAGCACACCATCTTGTCAAAAAAAATGAAGTCTGACCTTCTAGACTGAACTTCTCAAGGTGCCATTTTCACTTTCTGGACAGGGACGGGCTCAAACTTCCTTCCCTCTTTCCTGGCACTGTTTTACAGGTATCGCCTGTGCACCTATCGAGCTGCCAAGCCAAACTGGCCGGTCCCCACATGCCTGAAGTTGATGGCCGGACTTTCAGCTGGTATAAACTGTAATCCCTTCTTTGATGCCAAAAGCATTACAACAGAAGCATGAGCTCTGAAGCTCTTCCCCTGGCTAGTAAGTGTTTAACGGAGTTCCTGGGATATGAATTACTTACTGTTTGTAGAATGACTTGAGTATAAAACAAACACAGAAGAATGTGATAACTGAAGAAACACAGCACCTCTTTATACTGGAAAAGACAATAATTAGCCCCACTTACAAATGCCCGGAAAAGAGCACAGCAAGAAAGATAAGGTATCTTTACTGAATTCCCTGTTCTTGAATTGGGATTGTTAATTTCAAAGTTTTAAGATTTAAGCTGCAGACAATTTTCTATTCCTTTCAGAACTGTTCTTGTTGTAATAGGCAGTCAAGTTAATGAGCATATATCTCACAAGTTATCAGGACTGCAGTGTGAATGATTTTTTTCAGTGAGTGAATTCTCTTCTTGACACACCTACAGGCACAACCAGAAAAACAAGAACGTTTCTTTGAAAAACTGGAGAATTTCTTGTTGTCGTCCAGAAGCAACATCAGCAATTGTGTAGCCTAAATGCTTACTATACTCTACTTTTTACGGAAACTGATCCTGGAGCCAGGGATTTTTTTCTAACATGTGAATGCAACAGGTATATTTTCAGCATAGAAAACAAGTGAAAGATTCCGCCTTTGTAGCTAGGATGGTAGAACTGTGCTTTCCGATTGCGGAAAGAACTTTCCCTGCAAAAAATACAAGATTTTGCTGTCTAACCTGCTCCAGCCCTTGTGCTGCTCTCGCCCCCTTAAGAGATGCATGAAAATATATCTATCATTTAATATATGAAAATAACACTGGAGCAAGGTGTGAGTAAGATGGAGCACAAACAAAATGAACAGTGAACTGGAAGCAATCTCCTTTCAAAATGCTTTAGCGGCAGAGGGTATCCCATGTGCCTGGCAGCTGCTGCCTGCTGTCCTCTTGAAGAGTGAGGCTGAACCTCATAAACTGTGTTGAGACAGGAGGAAGGGAGTGGGAATCTGAGCTGCATCTGCAGAGCGGCTCAGTGGGCAGCAGAATACAAATGCATTAACGGGCTGTGCGCATCTGTGTGTTCAGAGGGTAACTGCGATATGCCTGCAGTGATTTGCTGGTGGACACATACATTTTAGAGCTGCGGTAGAACTGCCTGCTTAGGGAAAAGCAAACCAACCCGGAACCTCACCGTGCCAGTTTTGTTCAGCACTGCAGGCGCAGGAGGCTCCAGAGGTGATGGAGCTTTGTGACCCAGCCCGACGCTCCAGGATGGCATTGTGGGGAAGCAGGCTGGGTGCTTACTCACATCTCCTGCCCCCATTAACCTACTAATTTAGCACTGGCTGAAACTGTGTTTCATGCTGCCCAAAACTGTAGCATGGACATGTCCTCACCATGACTTGTCTAGGATTGCAGCAGAGTCTCTGCTGATGCGAAGCAGTGAACTTTGGCATTTGAAGTGCCTGTCTCATACCAGGTCTTGGGTCATTTTTCCTGTGAGAGGCCTCAAAAGCTTGACCTAGGCAGGGCTATTTCTCCATATTTAGCTGCCATACAGACGCTGTAGGACCAAGCTCTATTGCTGCAGAAATAAAAGGCCTGAGGCAGGGGACCAGCGCCAGCCCTGTTCTGTCTCGTGGGGCTGCAGACATTTCATTGGGGTGGTGGGACTGGGCAGTGGAGGGGAACTCCTGCAGGGGGTGAGGTGTGAGGAGGGTGCACAGCTATGCCGGCGATGTCAGACAGGGTGACGACAGCGCTGCAAGAAGAGGAGCCGGTGCGTATCTGCTCACAGCCTGCTGTCCACGCCGGCACGTCCGTCCGGCTGAGCGAGCGTGGCGCTCCTGTAGGTGCGCTGGCACGTGCTACCTTGACCTTTCTCTGCAGCGATAGGACGGCCCTAAGCTGGCCCCCTGCCCTCGTGGCTGAGCTCCCAGCTCCCAGCTGGGGCGTTCAGGCAGGCCACGCAGCCGGGCGGCCGGGGGTGCTGATGTCCCTGGCAGCGAGCAGGCGGCCGGGCAGGGGACGCCGGCAACGCGGCTTGTTAGGGCAGGGCCGGCCGCGCTGAGAGCTGGCCCAGGGAGGAGAGGAGAGCCGGCAGGACGTAAGAGAGAGAGAGAGCCTCCTTAGAAGGGTCTGATCTGCCCAAAAACGTCCCGGCGTGCTGAGGAAGCCAAGGCAGGAGGACGTCCGCTGCGCCACCCCTCTGCAGGCTAAGAGAAACTGCTGCCAAGAAGCCCTAGAAAATGGGCGGCATCGGCGTCACCTTCAGCAAGGTCCCTTCTATATCACAGATTTTTTTTTTCCCTCCCCACAGAAGGGAATTCCTGAGCAAATCTGAGGGAATTTGCATTTAAAGGCCTAGTTCCTGATTCAGTGAGCGCTCGTGTAATGCACACAAAATCCTCTGCGTTTTAGCATTTAGTGCCGTTTGAGGTCTTGTTTCCTTGAATGAAAAGGGAGAAAAGCATTGACATTTAAAGGGGCTGTTCCAACTAATTCAGCTGACGCTTTGGGGATCCTTCCTTACGTCGTCCTACGCGTTGAGGCGGCTGTATTGCATCAGAGAAGAAATCTGAAGTATCTGAAAGCATGCCCAGCTTCTGGGGAAAGGCTTGTTGCCAGGTGAACATAACGGAGAAAGAAAGCAAGAGCAAGGAGGGAGGAGAGGAAAACAGTGGGAGAAGAGGAGCGAAGCAGAGGTGAGGCTCTGAGTATGGGGGACAGACATCTGACAAGTGAAAAGGACTTATCACGGAGAGAGAAGAAAGGTAGCAATGAGAAAATTGGGCAGTTCGAGTTGGGCAGCGCTCAGGATCACATGAGCAGCTTCCCCGGAGGCTGCGTTCAAGAGGCCAAAGTTCAAAGCCTGGGATGCGTCCATGTTTTTCATGGTTCACTTCCAGGTCATTTGCTTTAAAAGAGTCTAAATTCTGCAGCTTCTACTGTTCAAAGAGGTTCTGATGTTTTAAAATCATTTTAGCTCGTCCCTGCTTGCAATAAACGTAAAGGGGTCAATTGTTCATTTTAACAGAATTCAGCTCAAGCACGCTCAGCCGGAGCCACAGAAGAGGGTGTTAAGGAGTGACGGAGGAAAGTAAGGCTGTTCAGCGTTTAAACTGTTCTGCAAAATCTGTGAAGAACTGACTGAATGTTGTCACTTTGCAGCCCTAGACTCGCCTAAGGCGCCAAAAGGGGAGGTAAGGCCGAGACGGGGCCTGAGCTGCCATGCAACTCTGCTTGCCCCGTGAGGATCAAAAAGACTTCTTGCATGGTGATATTTTCCCAGCAATTTCCAGTGGATGTTTATGAAGGGTAAAATTACCAATATACGGATCACTACCGTTGGGCCTCAGCTGCCTGAATCCAAATTTAGATTGTTGTTTGATTTTTCAAACATGCTAAGCTCTCAGCAGCTCATTTATTCAGGTACCTGTGGATTTGGCTATCTAATTCATGCATCTTTTTGCAAATCTAGTGTCCTATACTAAGTAGGCTATAGAAGGACTGATGCCTTTTATTAATTAATGACTAGGCATTATGTCTTAGCTTTAGTCTTGCTCTGGAAATAATAATTAGCAAATTGTGTTTCCTAAAAAAAAAAAAAAATTAACTGCGATGACTTCCCTGAACTACTGGCCAAGAAGCAGGTATCTTGCCTTTTTCTCATACTTAGGTCACTCAGTTAACTAATTAGTGATTTCTTGTGGGAATTGAAGCAAATATGAGCATAAAGCTTTCTGCACAGTGAAAAGCACTTGTTTCCATCTCTGTGGAATACCATTAACAGCGATTCCTTAACAAAACTACTGAAAAGAAGAAGGCTGGAATCGTTTGGGAGGTCAAGAGTTTGCTGAATATTGAGGTCTGCATGGAAGCCCCGAAGTCTGACCACGACCCTGCTTGCGCATTTTCCACTGCTTAATTTGTGGAGCGTCTTGATTAACTCCAGGGTTCATTTGTTACCCTTGGTAAAATTTTGGCTGGCATATCTGCCAGAGCAAATGCTGAACTGAGACTTGCCAGGAATCAGGTTAAAGTTAAATGCCTTCTTTATGTCTAACTCTTTAAGTGGTGTTGGGACTTTGAGACTGCATAGATACACTAATAAGATTTAGAGAAGATAGATACCAAAAGTGCTTTGCAGCCTGAGCTCTGTTCAGTCAGGAGGTTATTTTTATTTGTTCCGCATCTGGATAGAGTCGTACCAGAGAACCTCCAAGAGATTTTGGGCACAGCCGAAAGCTCTGCTGGGGCTTGCTCAGCAGTCGTCTGTGAGAGCACCACGGGCGGCAGCGCCACGCGAGGGACAGCTCACAGCCGAGTGGCGCGCCACGGAGCAGTCCCTGCAGTACAATGGCTTCATCGCACCGGTCGAACCAGGACACGGCTGATTTTAGAAACCCTGATGTTAGCCCAGACTGTGGGAACCACAGACCTCGCGTGATTCTTGGCTTTTCCAAGCACCCGATGCACTCTCTGCTGATATTCATAAGTCTTTTACAGTCGCTTCTGATTCTTTACAACCGGAGTGACCAGGAAAAGGATGTTCTTTGTCCCCGTCCAAAACCCCGTTTTCACAGGCAGACGAGTTATCACTTCCAACGCGGCTCAAGTCCTGTAGCCGTACCGTTAAAACCACTTGAGGATGAGGCTAAATTAGGTACCACTGTGACTTTTTTGGCCGGAGACAGGGAAAGGTGAAGAGCAAAGCACCGGGAGCGCAGTCGCAGGGAGCAGGAGGGAAGGAGGGACCGCGGAGGCGGTGTGTCCCGCCTGGCCCCAGGCGGCTGCACGCAGAGATGCTGCGGCGTCCTTGGTGCACGCTCGCACTACTCAGCCGTCGGAAAAAATACAGTTTCTCCTAACGTTTTTCTTAAATTTTCCTTGCCACAGTTTGAACGTCTCACTTACTGAAGGCCGTTACTTTTTCTCCTGTTGCCTGTGGACACAGAAGGCAAATCCTCCTCTATTTTGTGTTTGTTTGTTTTGTTTGAGCAACTACTCTTATGTCTGAAGGGCTGGTACTACGCTTCCCTCCATCTCTTCCCTGCCGATGTTCCAGCTCTGCACTTCCCGCTCGGTTGCTTCCAGCTCTCGCTCCTTCCAGAGCTCTCCTTTGCTCATGTCCACACGCTAACGCTCACTGGGACTCCCGGCAGCCAGAACTGCCCCAGACCGCCAGCTTGACTTCAACGCCGTCGTCTTCCTACCGCAAGCGCTGCGGAGGGAGGGTGTCCAGGCGCCACCTCGAGCAGGCGGCGATGCTCTGGAGCAGGACCGCCTGCTCTCACGCGAAGGAAGCACACCAAAACACGCAAAGAAGGTGGCAACAAAAATCTGTATATGCACAAAGGAGGCGCGTTGCCGAAAGGCATGGCACAAAGTCTGACCTACCTGTATTCCAGACTCAAATATGGCCCAGCTGTTAACATACACTTCAAGACACTGGTGCCATGTGATTGTAGCAAAAGGTAGGGAATGGTTGTTGTCAAGAAAGCTTGCAACAAAATCTGCGCAGTTCTCTCACAGCTCGCAGGGTACAGCTGTGGTACAAGTGAACTGAGAAAGCACTTCCTATCTAACAGGCCGCTTCTACTCGCTGTACCCTAAAAATATCTCCGTTGTGCTGCTTTATAGCACAATAATCTGATTCTCAAATGTTTCAAACATTATGCAATGTCAGCATATTGACGGAAAATTTTAACTTATTTCCTTATTGAAAAGACTCTTCTGCTGGAAAGTTTGTATGTTTTTATAGGAATAAAAGCCATGAGAAAAATGGAATTCCTAAAGTTAAGGGGTTTCACTTTAAATTAGATCAAAATCTGAAAATTTCTCTGGAGTGAAAAGGAAAATGGTTGTTTTCTTTTCAAGGTTAAAAAAAGTCAATTCCTATAATATATCATATAAAAATAATATAAATAATATAAAATTCTATACATATAGACAGTATTGATATTAAAATGCAACATATAAATTTAAAACATGCCATTCTGAAATATTACAGTGTTAATAAGATTTTTTGCCTTCTAATAAAACAAGTCAAAATATTCTTCCCATCACCCAAACTATAGCTGAAATAAATTACTTTCAAAAAATATTCATTTTTACAAAACAACTTTTTTTTTTTCAGCAGAAATCATAGTTTGAAATGCTTTGATTATTTCTAATTAAAAACTTGCTGCTTCTCCCAGGTGTATTGCCGTGTTTGTAGATGACATTAAATTCCCCTGTCTTAGCTATCTTCAGAGACAGAGTGGTCCGGAGTATTGAAAACAAAGACAATCTTGCATCCAGCTGGGCGAGCTGCACAGCTTCATAGGCTGATCAGCTGTCTTAGAGATAAATTCAGGCCACTGAAAAGTCAGACATGGCTTCTGGGTAAGTCAGTGGGAGCTGCACCTGCTCTGATTAATGGTGGACTCCCGGGTTGGAAGGGTGCCTCTCAGAGGTTTTACACACAGTCGAAACAGAAACAAACCAGTTTTTCCTGATGACAGAAAGATGCCATCACGGAGTTATGGAGCGCAGTCTTTATTCATCGAAGCCTGCTGATTATCAGGAAGAATGGATTGAGACTAAGCCTACGTACTGATCCTACAGCAGCAAAATTAAGGTTAGGGGAGTCACTGAAACAAATCTCGGACTAAGAATCTATTTTTTAATTACGAATGTGTTCTAATACATCACTTTATGTTTGTCGCATGTGAGCTGCTCGGGCACTGCAGCCACGTCCGTGACGTTAACTATCTGTGCTTGCCCTGTGAAATGTCCCGTGGGACCAGTCGCGGGAGCCTGCAGCCCTCAGGGAAGCTGTTGCCTCCTGAGCTCTTGCAATCCTGGTGCCCTGCTTTCAGCGGGCTAAATCCATCAGGCTGCTTCCGCGCCGACAGCGTTACTGCACAGGTAGTGACCTCTGTCACGGCGAACCTTGGGAAGAAAGGAGCCTCCAGCATGGAGTACACGTGAAAGCGGTGGCAGCTTACGCAAACGTTGGCAGCTTCACGCTGAGAACGTAGTGAAACCCATGAATGATGACTGAAGTGGTTTTAGCTTAAAAAGATATGAGGTTTGTCGAGCGTCATTGTTTTGGACGTCTCTTGACCCTATTGAACAGAACGCTCCTGCTGCAACCTTTGTCTCGGGTATTTTCAATGGTAGCTAGCTTCGTAAGCATTTGTTTTCTACTATCAGATCATTAAATGGTAATGCAATTGTTATTTTCATTTCCCTAGTTCTAATATGTTTTGCAGCCAGTAACCATTCCCAGTTCATTAACTGACTGACCTCAGCATTAACACCCCCTCTGCTGGGGTTGCCTTGGAAACAAAGCTTCCTGTGCGTAATCCAAGCTTATCTAGCTCTTTATCCTACATGTGACCCTTAATTACTTGCTAAATTAGAATGGTTTTCTGAAAATCACAAGAGGAGGTTAATATGTTCTTCCAGAGCTGGTCAAGCTAAGATGACACTAAATTCACAGGGAATTCAAATTACATGATCCCTGAAGGCGTCTCTTTCAGGAGGAAGATGAACTTTCCCAATGGGAGGCAGTGTGCCATGATAATGCTTCTGTCAGTCACTTTCCTTGCCCTGCTTGTCTAGCTACAGCTTAATCCGGTGTGAACAATGTACTAAGTAAATATCAGGTTGATTAATTATGGTGCAAGACTCAGTAACCGTTTGTCTTCTATAATTAACACTGTAATTGAAATTAAGTAATATCCTTCATACTCTGATTTCTGGACTCGGGGGAGGAACAAGGGAGACCCCCTCAAGGCTGGGGTCAGCCTATTATCAAGAGATAATAACAGATTGTCAGAATATTAACTGTCTCTTTAAAGTGTTGGTACGTTTTAAGATACTCTCCAATCAAAAAGTAAAATGACTTTACCACTTCTAGATATCTTAGAGTGGAGGTGAAATTGAATTAGTTTGTAAAAATACTGTTTAAAATAGCTGAAAATCCACCCTTTTTTCCACCAGTTTCATAAACGGGGATTGCAGGAAAAGTTGATGCTCACTAGGACGCGCAGTGATTTTCCTCACTACTGTTTCTGGTGGCACATTGCTTAAAGGGGAGCGAGTCTTTTGTTTAGGCGAGACCGGTTTTATAAAGCCGGGCTGGGAATCAAATGCTATGCCATGATGTGGGTCTTTGGAAAAAAATCCCCCAAAGGCAGCCCCTGCGTCCCAGCTGGAGAAGACAGGCCACACAGAAGCGTGTGGGTGGTAGAGCAGACCGGGACGGGGGCACCCCACGTCCCCTCGCTGCCTGCAGCCAGCCCGGCCCTCAGCACCGCTGCCGCAGCCCAGGCTGGGCTTCCTGCACACCCCTCTTCCCGGAGCTGCCCCAGGGGTGACGTTCCCGGGGGGTACCCTAACGCTTGTGGGAATAAACCATCTACGGATGTGTCAGAAGCGTGTCTGTCAGAGCGCTCTGGGGACTGCTCTGGATCTCGGGCTGCTCTGAAGGGGTACGAGCGTGCGTCTTTGCTGCTCTTACGGCAGTCTGTGCTCAGTTTGCAACCTGCCCAGAAATCCCATCCCCCTGAATCACCATCTGCTGATACAGACACGCGCCCCTAGGACCGATGCTGCCGCGTCGCTGTGCCAATCTTTGTGGTCCCTCTTATGCTGCGGATTTGGGTGAATATGTCATGCTCGCTGTTTTCCTCAAGGGCCTTGTGGAAATGCCCTTTCTTCGCAGGGCTCCAAGGAACAGCGCTCGAATGCTATGTTGGAAGGAGTTAGTGCAGTGCCTCAGTTTCACAAAGGTCACAGGAACAACATGATTTAATGGTGCTTTTCCGTCTGACACCCGTATTGCTCCTCTGCTGAGCAGTAGCATGCTTGGGACCTTGCAGACCCATTTTGCAATACAGAAGTCAATGAAAAGGAGGTGAGACTCAGCTCAAGGGAAGACTGAATATCAGTCCTGGAACAAGCAGTTGTCTTCTTCAGGCCCTCCAAAAATTCGTGCTTCTCGGTATTATCGTGAGTGATAAGAATTACTGGATTCTGTGTTCTGGGGGTGTCGACATCTGTATCATCACTGATTTAGCAGTTTCGTCAGGAGTCTAATGTCTACTTTAGCAATTACAGGTTTCTCCTAGCTAGTCACAGGTTCTTTCCACACAGCATTTCATTCGCTGTGCCTGTGTTTAAGCAGAGACAATGCAAAAGTACAGTCTGTCTCAGCATGTCCCGTTTTATTGTGAAAGGCTGGATAATTTGTGTCTATGTACAAATGCTTGCATGGATACATATAAAACTGAGGGACTAACCATTAAGATGGGGAGAGAGCACAGACAAATAAGAAGCGCAGTCTACCAGATTTGTCTTTGTGTAAGACGTTTGTATTTTACAGCATCGGGCTGCAGTCCGTGATACTTCAGCCACAGCTGCAGCCACCTGCGTTTCTGCTCAGAACTCCTAAATTCAACACAAGATACCTCAGAAGTTAAGAGCAGTTATGAGCATAGAAATAACACGCGGCCTCTCTGACAGCTCCCAGCACGGCAGGATGAAGGACAGATTCGTGGCATATCCACAGGGTCCTTGATTTCCCTGCTGAAACTTCCAGAAAGCATGATGGCATTTTTCTGAGAGCATTGTCAAAGACAGTTGCACCTTCTGCTGCTCGGCAGGATCTGAAACAGTTAAGGTATTTCAATTCATTGTGATGATACAGAACGTGTCATCCTGCCAGTGGATCCCTGCCCAAAGAAGCTTTGTACGAAGGTGTACTTCTAGATGTGTGCGGCTGACGAGCAGGTGCTGTGCGCTCACAAAGTCTTTGGCTTCGCTGCTGACACTTCCAGCAAATATGATCGTGTTTTCCTGAGCGAGCAGCTATCCTCTGGTAACTGGGCTGATGATGGCAAATCTTTTCTCAAATGGGAAAAGCTGTCAGTCACTGCTAATCCAAGTAGGTTTTAGGCCAGTGAGCCATTTCTGCTCTCCCTTTGCTGAACCATCACTTCTCTCTTAAGGTATTTGAATTCAAATGTAATATTCTGGACAGAATTCAAGAAAATTCTTACAAACGAGAAACACTTTTGTTTCCTATAGCAAGCTCATGCAGGTAGGACGGCTTGAAGAGAGACCTCCACTTCTCAACTGCTCACTTACATAATTCGGGAGTCTCTGGATATTCTTCTGTGTGTCATGACAGACTGTAGGGCAGCGCTCTATGCCTGGAAGGAAAGGTTTTTAAAGGAGTGAATTTCCATTTTCAGATGAGGTTTTAAAAATCCTCCAGGCACAATTGCTAATAAAGCTTAGGAACTACGATAAAGTCTTTGGATGCCATCCAGGTTCCTGAAAACCACCTTGG